GTAGGAGTTTCTGATTCTCCTTCCTTCTCAGTCCTCAGAAAAGAAAAGGTACCCGGAAAAACCTCTCGTGCTCAACAAACGTCTGCCCCGTATGTCACCAAGACAGGACTTACTCTTCTAAAGGAGTGCTGTGGGTTCACTTGCTCCATCATGTAAAAATGATCTCCAATGGACCAGGACAGCAGATCCAGAGAGCTTGCTTTTGGTTGATCAGTAACTGGACACCACAATGGCACTGTACGTGGTTATGCTCCACACTTCAAACTACAAGTCGAAGCTACCTAACTGGCAATGAGTTGATTCACGGCCTCTTTGTTCTGTTAGTAGCTTGCCAATAAAAATGTGATGTCAATGTGTGTGTTACTTGTGGTCTCCTGCAAAGCACAACTCTCTCCACTAGTGAATTTACATATTTTCAAGCTGCTGGTTTTCGCCACTCGTTGATTTTGAGTGGCCTTTCCCGAATTGGCAATGATCTTGACCAGTGGATATCTACTTTATATCATTGACTCGCTCTGCAGATAAACTATTAATTAAGTTAGCATGAGGCACACATTCATCAAGTTTGCATTCAGAGTAGTTGTGTTTGTTGGTCCAGAAAATAGCGAAAAATCTTACCGCTTTAATTTATCTCAGAGGAGTGAGATATAGCTTCTCGACACGCTTACTTAAATATCTATACTAAGCAGCAAAGAACTTTCACACAATATAATCACATATAAAATCTGTTCTTATTGTTAATTTTAATGTTGAGTAGCTTAGTAAGTGTTGTGCTGAATAAAACACTTGTTTTATTTATAATTGTCTTTCCTTTTCTATTAATGTGTTAATTAATCCTGCAACTTTTACTCTGTCTGTCTGTATTTTTGCTGCTAAAAACACTTGATTCGAAGGCTTTGCTTTATATTGTGTATATTTTAGTCGATGATCTTAGAAACAACTCCTAAATAAATGGGGGTTCTGTAGTACGAGCAGATCTTTAGCAACATTCTAAAAGTGGAGCAATCAGTTCAAAATATTTGTTTCCGTGGTGACTGCATCACATACGCCAGTCATTGGCTGAGGGCGTTAGCTGACTGCTCTCTGCCAATGAATGGCACACTCTGCAAAATATATTTGCTGGCTGATGACACTCCATGATGTTGACGGAAGGGAAGTTCCAAGTCCGGTAGTCAAGGGCTTAAACTCTGTATGTTCAGTGTTTCACAGCAAAACTTTGCACATACAGACTCCAGGCACCCTGTCCACTTTAAGTCACCATTGTATTGCTCTTTGAACCAGAATCACCATCACAATATTATACCACCTGTGGTATCTTTATACAGCTATCCATGGCTTCAATCATTTTTTATTTTAATTTTTATCAGAGACAAAGAGATTTAAATGCAAGCAATCTGCAAAGTATCACTTAATTCCAAGTGAATTTAAAATTTAAAGGAACACTATAGGGTCAGTAACACAAACTTGTATTCCTGATGCTATAGAGTTAAAACCACCATCTGCCTTCCTAAATATAGTAAAATCTTACTTGTATTTAGGTCTGCAGTTGCTTCCTATGCCCCTGATGCCTGCTTGGCTGACATGATCACAAGTGATTCTTTGAACCAATCACAAAGCTAATTCTTAAGGCCAAAGTAGCCAAACAGAATCCTTACTTGCGTTAAAAATCCCTGCTTGAGTACCAGAGAGGTTAAATCACAGCATTGATTAGCTTGATTAGTTGTTATCTCTGTGTATAATGTTTTTCTGGGGATTGCTATTAGAGATGTTTACAGTGTTTTGTAGAAGGCATCATACCCAAATAAAGTTATTCAGTAAATGTAGAATTGACAAAGGGACTGAAAATTTTACGCCATAAAAAGCTGAATTGGGAAAATTGTCCATATCAACACTTTTTTTATTTCTTTATTTACAAACTTCTTTTCTTTTCTTTCAAGGTAGTCGATTTTGATGTTAAGATTGCAATTTGTCATTTTTTCACAATCCTTGGATTGAAACAGCAATAAGTCTATTACGCAGCTATTGATCTGACAGTTAAGTGACTCTCGACAGGCAATCGTCAACTCTCCAATCCTGGAAACAAGATATTGTGCATCCCCCAGACTAGCTGAGGGTTTTGTGATTTTTAATCTCTTAGCAACTGGACAGCAAAATTATTTTCAGACCTGCTGAACTATATTTTAGTTTGCAATATCATACATTTAAATTGTTAAAAAAAAAAAAATTGTATATTTAACCTTTCCCTATTTTGATAAGTGCTTTCCTGGCAGATTATGCAAATACATTTTCAGGTCTTAACGTGTGACATTAGTGACAGTTCGGGTTACTCGCAGCATCTCAGAAACTAGACAAAAAAAAAATTATAAAAACTTGTAAAGACATGATTATTGGATTTCACAAGTACTTTGTTTGCTAGACCCACCAAGGTCTCAAGTATGCAGAACCAGGATTGTCAAATCAATGTTGATTTAGGGGAGTGATGACCTACATTTTTGAGCCCATAATGTCTAGCAAATTAAAGAAAAAGCATGCTGAGCATTGTTATTTATTAAACTTCACACCCACATCGCTACAGGTTACCTAATCAACACAGTTTGTGGGCCAATGCGTTAAGATCCTAATAATCCAATATTTATTTTTATGTGGAGTGTTGTATTTTTTAAAAATTGTAAGTATGTAATGTTGCCATAATCATCTGACATTCAGATATCAGTCATCATTAGTGATGTCCCGAACGGTTCACCGAACGGTTCGCCGCGGATGGCGAACATATGACCCTGTACCTCACAGTCAGCAGACACATTCCAGCCAATCAGCAGCAGACCCTCCCTTCCAGACCCTCCCACCTCCTGGACAGCATGCATTTTACATTCATTGTGAAGCTGCATTCTTAGTGAGCTGTCCAGGAGGTGGGAGGGTCTGGGAGGGAGAGTCTGCTGCTGATTGGCTGGAATGTGTCTGCTGACTGTGAGGTACAGGGTCATATGTTCGCCGTCCGCGGCGAACCGTTCGGGACATCACTAATCATCATATATCAGTCACTAGAGCCAATGTCGAAAAATGTTCCTGCATAGCCAAAATCTTATATTTGTTTAATTCGTATTGTTTCCTTTTTGACAAGCGCAGTGTCTTTTATATAAACACAGTCCACATCTAGTATAAACCTCTAGCATTTCATTGATCGATACCCAATGACCTCTGAGAAGGTTCTATTAAATAATTAGTTTACTCTCCCATTCTCTTTGCCCTATATAACACCCACTCCTCACCCCGCTCCATCCTTTTCTCTTCTCTATTTTGATTCCTCTACACATTATAAAGAGCAGATAATATAATGCAAAGTCCATGACAGAGAATGAGTCATACTACCCCCCCCCCTCCTTCCCGATGACTGATACACACAGAGTTATATTTGAGTGATGCAGTTGCCATGGCGACAGCAGGAGTTAGATCCTGGATTTTGTGAGCAGAGCATCCTTTCAAGGCAACAAAACGTACAAAATGTGACAGTCAAGTTATTTTGTTGCTGGGTTTTATTAAAAGGGAAGATCGGGCCATCCAATTCATCTCAAGTGTGAAAAATCTAATAACAACTGACTGTTTATGCAGTGCAGCGCAGATATTTTTAATGACATGAAAATTAATATCGGTGTGTCTGTTTGCCTGCCTTTCCTACAGACAGTTCAGTTTAATAGCCAATATAATTAAAACAGAACTGACTGCCTGAAGTTGATGAGACAGGGTTAATCAAAAGGCAAGGGTGCAGCTCAAGGTTCTGCTTAAAGAATGGGTGACTTAAAAGGCTCTGCAGCATGTAAAGGTATAAAAAAAGCTCTGTATGTGGAAATGTGATAGCACAAGGATCTTCAATGATGAAGAGGAGAGAACGAGGATTTTCCCAGACAGAATAATGCACAAGGCTCTGCGAAAAAGAAGGAAGCAGCAAAAGGCTCTGCAGTGGCAAATTACATTAGAAAGACTCTGCTGTAGAGAAAGGTGTACAAAACGCTCTGCATGAGGAGAAAATAAAGCTAAATCCTCTGCAGTCGGAATCATTTGCTTTCCAGGGAGGAAATCAAACTATGAAAAGAGTTGTCCAGTTATTAATTTTCCAATTTGGTTAAATTGGTCCAAAAATTTGCAATTACTAATTTTTCTTTACAAAAAAATTATCCAGGGGGCGGGGCCAGAGCTTCATGGCGGCTGGACGCGTTTCGAGGGAGCTCCGCAGCCAAATGGAGAAATAAGCGTCAATAAAGCGTTCCAGCATGCCAAAACGAACGACCATGCAGTGTACTTTAACCAGGAGCCGACCAGGACACTCTGACCCTTTTACTTCTCTCCCAGATCAATCTCTGGTCGATGGCTCCGTCAGGGCCTGGAACGTGGCCCGGGCGGGCGGGAAGGCCGCTCTCCCGTTCGGTGCACGAGCAAGAGGCAATCGCTGACCCACCATCCCCCCCCCCGGGTTATCCCGGTCCCCGTTGGCCAGCCAAGGGATACACAGAGTGACAGGGCCTCTATGCCTGCATCTACTCGAGACGCATCTTTCCCTGCCAAGATGGCTGCCGCACTCACACCTCATGGCGCTGAACCCACAAAGCCTACAGGAGCTTACCCTGACACCGTCCAACAATCCCTGAAGAGGCTGGATGCCTTGTTCGACCGCTTCTGGGCCTCGCTGAAGCAAAGAACAGCTGTACGACCAACCCAGCCCCAGACAGTGAACGGAATGACGAAAAGCAGAGGAGAGTGTAGGCCTACGCAGAGCCCTGTCCGCACAGAAGCTCAAGCAACTCCTAACACGGACTCTGTGGGGCCGAGAGTCAAAACTCCACAAAGACGCACTCACAGAATAAACAGAAATCGCAGGAAACATCACTGCCGCACCAAGACTCCGTGTCTCTCTCCTCCCCGAAAAGTCACAGGCACCACTAGCCAGATCCGTCCCACGGTGAAAGCGGCGGCATGGGCTGGAAAAAAGCTCCGTACTGCACCCTATATACGGCTGTACTAAGATGCCTCACCCTCTGCACAAAGAGACTCCAGCGGGCACCTCAGCAACACCCCGCACGTCTCCAGGAGGCACCGGGACTATCATGGCAAGAGACTCTCCCTCCAAGCCTCTTAGCGGCGTGGGCTGACAGCCACCAAGGGACGCTAAGATACCTGCTCTCAGGCACTAGAGAGTTCGGTTAATACCTGCACGCAGCAACTAACCTGTTTATATACCCAGCGGTACACTCAAGCATTTAAACATATAATCTGTAAAGCGTGATACCCTTCTACTCAATAATCAGTTATTACCTTGCATTTATTTTATGTATTTTATTTGACTGACGCTTATCAACCCTAGCCTGGTTTGTTGGCACTATGTTCTCTAACCGAGGCCACAAACAACCCAGCGACACAAACGCAAGAAAATGATAGCAAGTTAAAAATGTTATTGATCCCACTTAAGATTAGCAGAGTCTTTTTAGCTCCACACATAATGCATAATTGTTTAGTTTTAACCAATGCTACGTCAGGGGCCTATCAGCTGCATGTATGTTAGCCCATATTATGAACACTATATAACGCTAGGGCAGATTGTGAGCTACTAAACTGTGAGTTAATAGACTGTGAGTTAAAGGACCACTATAGTGCCAGGAAAACATACTCGTTTTCCTGGCACTATAGTGCCCTGAGGGTACCCCCACCCTCAGGGTCCCCCTCCCGCTGGTCTCTGGGGAGAGGAAAGGGTTAAACTTACCTTTTCTCCAGCACCGGGCAGGAGCTCTCCGCCTCCGATCCTCCCTTTCGGCTGAATGCGCACGCGCGGCAACAGCTGCGCGCGCATTCAGCCGGTCTCATAGGAAAGCATTTACAATGCTTTCCTATGGACGCTTGCCTGTACTCACTGTGATTTTCACAGTGAGAATCACGCAAGCGCCTCTAGCGGCTGTCAATGAGACAGCCACTAGAGGCTTTGAGGGCTGGATTAACCCATTTATAAACATAGCAGTTTCTTTGAAACTGCTATGTTTATAAAAAAAAAAAAAAGGGTTAATCCTAGAGGGACCTGGCACCCAGACCACTTCATTAAGCTGAAGTGGTCTGGGTGCCTAGAGTGGTCCTTTAATAGACCCTTTTTAGCACAGCAGCAAGCATGATAAGATGTTACAGGAGGGCATGAATGTTTATGCTAGAGCATTGCTTTCACACATATGTGTAACCCTGTCTACCAAATCTGTCAGGATGCTACAGGCATATTTACTCTTAAATAATTGGTTATCGCTTAGACATACCTACGTAACTAATATTACCTTTAAAAAAAAATGTGCAAGTTTTCAGAGCCACTGTTCAACCTATATATGTTTCCATATTATTCTTCGCTGTTGTGGCGCATGACTATGTTTTGTACTCACCTGCACAACAAAAATAAAGAATATTAAAAAAATAATAATAATAATCCAGATTTAGTTGATTTGCATGTATTTTGCCGCGTTTGGGGAGGCATCTCAATACTGAGCTGTTTTCTCTATTATAAAAATATATTACCTCTGTTCTATATTATTATTATTATTTATAAAGCGCCAACAAATTCCACAGCGCTGCAAATTCCACAGCGCTGTTATGAAAATATATTAAGTCCTATCATCCTAAGTCAGTTTATTGCTTGCATGGAAGTTGCAGTGTAGACTTATTAGTTAGCTTTCTCTGATTTAACCCTTATCAGGCTGCAATATGTTCTGTTTTTTACTTAGTAACTACAGTGAATTAGTTATCTTTGTATACACAAACATATATTTCCCTCTTGTGGTTAGTAATGGTAATACAGGGTGGCACAATATTAAAGGGACACTATAGTCACTATTATTAATACGTTATTATTTATATAGCACCAACAAATTCCGCAGCGCTTTACAATGAGTGGACGACAGACATGTAGTTGTAACCAGACAAGTTGGACACACAGGAACAGAGGGGTTGAGGACCCTGCTCAATGATCTTACATGCTAGAGGGAGTGGGGTAAAGTGACACAAAAGGTAAGGATAGTATTAGACTAATAACAGTTGCAAGAGAGGAATCAGTCAGAGCAGAAACCAGACTGAAGCGGGTCTAGAAGAGCTGGACTCGAGGAAATCTGTCAATCTTGCATACATCTTCAAGGATCTTG